CCCCTGCCCTCCCCCCGCCCCTTCCCCCACAACAGACTTATCAGTTGGACCCACATATCGACTATTGGATCGATATCAGCCGATATGGCCCCTTAAAAATCGGCCGTCGGTATCAGCCCCAAAAATCTCTATTGTTGCACCACTAGCTGGAGGGGCTTTTACCTGTCCTGCTTCTAACCCACATTGCTACCCCGGCAGAAATGTTATAGCATGGACTTAGCCTGAAGCACAAAATGGATAAATGACTTGTTCCAGTCATGCAGCCAGTAGCATAGCTGGGGGGAAAAAAAAGCCTTGGTGTCCAGATGCCCTGTCCCCCACCACGATGATGAGAGTGTCCTGACATCCCTGCTGTATTGGAGAGCTGACACAAAGGGAGCGTGGGGTCCTCAACTGTGCATGGGTGGGTCTTTGTGCATGTCTGCACCCAAGCGGTCCTTCTGCTTATCTTCCCCTTTCTGTTGCAGATCGGTTGGTTTCCTTCGACCTATGTGGAGGAGGAGGGAGTGCAATGAGTCCCAGGTCTCTGACTAAAGACTCCCAGAAAAAGCCGCTGCAGACTGTGCACAGTTGTCCCAGCACCCAGGGCTCCGAGTGAAACGCAATCAGAAATCTTCCAGTATTACCAACAGCCACCCTATTATGAATTCTTCTGCAATCGGTCCTCTGTACAGTGTGTGTGCGTGTGTGCGTCGGGGGGTGCCACTGGCTTCCGGTCCTTGGTTGGGTTACTTGTATATAAGATTTATAGTCTATCAGGTGTTTGTGTGACAGCAGAAGTGACCTGGGAAAGTCGCTCTCAACAGCCTAGACCAAGCACTGAGAGGCTCAATGCAGCTGTGGCCAGAGACGTTGTCCAAGCCTGTCTTATCAAGGATGTTTCAGAAGCCACCGTGGTGGTGGCAGGAGGATGGGACAGGGTGGCTCCTGGACTGATGCCGGGAGTCGTGGGGGAATGCTTTCAGCAGAGGCTGAGAGGGAGCCAACTGACACCCCTTGCTGCTTGAATGGACTCTGCTGGTTTCTCTGGGCACGTCATGGCAGAGCCCACTAACTTTGCTGGTGATGGGAGGAGGTGGGGGGGATGAAGGCACCACAACCTGCTGCAAGGAGACTGCTCTCATTTGATGCCTGTCTGGATCTAGGGAAAGAGGTTTTTTTTAACAGATCATGATGAGTCTGAAGCCAAACAACAGAGCTGGGCACACCTACCTGTTAGCAGAGACCCCCTTATTTTGTATCACATGCCCTTTCTCTTAAAGCTAACTTTGGTCCCAGTAACCTCACTCAGGGCAGAGGAGAGACGGTCCTTTGTGGTGATGGCCACATCTGGATCAGGAGGTCTGGTCGCATTGCAGGGCTGCAAATGTGCCTTCCCCAGGAAGAGCTTTTGCAAATCATCAGTGACATGAGGGATGGCACATGTGATAATAGATACAAATGTGCATCATCTGCTCCAGCGTGTCCGCCGCTCTCATAGCCTACCTACCTTTCCTATTCCTAACAAGGATATATGTAAGCCACCCCACCAAACTAATGGCCTGTTCTTGCAGCCATTATGGCTCATTGAGCTCAATGGGGCCTACTTAGTAGGTGAGGGCTGTAAAACCAACTCCCAAGTTGCACAAAGCTGATGTTAAACAGTCTTTCCTTTGGCCACCTTTTGGCATTACATACTTTGCCCACCTCCCAGCTGTTCATTGCTGCGAGTAAGGGAGAATGTGTTTCCCTTTCATGTTGTCTCTCTCTCATTGCTTTTGTGCCCTGAATGATGTTCATCCCCTCCCTTGCTTTCCACGTGGCGACCCTTTTCAGTTGGCAATGAGGATGGTTGAGTGGAGTCCGCTGCAAGTGACTTCTGCCCTTTGCTCCCCAGACCAGAACGTGCACCCAAAGTGCACTTGTGCAAAACCACCAACAAGAAGCAAACCCCAGGGATGTCGTATGAAGTGCCCTTTTGCATGTTTGCTTCCTTTCCTTCAAGGTGTTCAGTAGCCCCATACCTTGTAACTTTGCTGCTGAGCTCTGTGTCTCTGGGCAAGATTCTTCTGTCGTCAGCACCAGTGTGAATCCAGAAGAGCTGCCTGCATGAGATTTATGCAAGACCTATGCAAGGGTATGTCGCTCTCCTACAGTGCACTGCTGAAGTCCTGCCTGTCGTGACAGAAGAATATAGAGATCTTACCTAGCCATTTTGCAAGTGCTCCAAGTATTATCTGGGGAAGAACAGCAGACGTTGTGCTGCCAAATTGGGATGGAAAAGCCACGAGGAGCATTCTGTGACCTTGGCAAGGAGGAAAACCAAATTAACTTTGAAAATAAGCTTGCTGTTTGTTTGGCACAATAGTCTGGCCTCTTGTTTCGACTCGATCTTTGGGTTTTCATTCTTCTCCTGCACTGGGTCTTGGACTGAGCTTGCTCACCAGCTGCTCAGTACTCCTTGTGCCAAAGCTGCCAGTGAACCTCTCACATTGCACTGTATGGGTTAGAAAATATTTCCCAATTGAACTGTGCCCCTGCTATAACAGACTCATCCAGATGCCTGCTGCCTAAATGCCACCATCCATGGACCCCTGCCACCAGGTGGGCATTATCATTTGCATGCAACCAAGTGCCCGGTCACTGTATGCATCTTGCTCTGCGGAGTGAGAACCAGGACCAAGCGGTTCGATGGCATTTCCAGTGGTTTTATGAAGGTCATTCCTTGGTGCTAACCTATTCCAGTCCAGCTCAGTTTATTTGAGTGTTAATTGTTTGCCAGTCCTGTACCTTTGCCTTTCATCATCTCAGCCTACCAATATTGAAAGGAGATGCGGCAGCACTTTGGAGAGGGGAAGCTGTAAAGGAGACTCAGGGAAGTTAAGTGCTCAGCTCTTACTGAATATCAAAGAAAGTGCATTGAATTTCAGTGCGAGTTGGCCATCCATTTCCATGAAGCACCGTTGACATTTCCAGCCTGCAGGCCACACGTTTCTAAGCTAACTAACAAGGTCTGGGGGCCCCACTTGAGACCTTAATTTTTTTCCCAAAAGTGCTGAACAGCAGGTCTTGAGAAAGGAAAACCCCTTCTAGACATCGAAGGGTGGGCCCCCAGCAATGCAGAGTCATTTTTGCAAATGCAGGCATCTCTAATCCTGTGCAATTGTGAGCAGACCCCATTCTCTAACAGCCACAAAGAAAATGGATCAGAAAGAAGAAAACCCAAGGGGATGCATTTATGCCTTGAATATTTCCTGAGCCTTTAGGTGACCCCAATGACTGTTATTTCACATGCGAAGAATCATGTTGTGAGGGAACGTGGAAGGTGAACCCCTCTCAAAAACCATATGCCCTTCTATCACCGGGATCAGAAGAGCACTCTTTGTACTGTGCAGCACGTCGGGTCTCTTTATCAGCTCCCAAAAGATGCGATACATGCACGCTCTGCCTACGACCGAGTGACGCCCCTTACTCTTGCCCAGCACAAGATCAGTCATTCCTCAGAACAGTCTCTCGTGTTTACTGTTGTAAGAAACTTGTTAAAAAGAATTTTTTTTTGTGTTTGTAATTATTCAGCCGATCGCCACGATATATATCTGTGAATAAGAAGGGAAAATGTTTTTTATGATGGTGAGAAAATTGTATATATATTTTAGTTCATCGCAAAACATTCGGAATTGTAACAGAATACAGTGGGAAATAATATGTAAATTCCTTGATTTTTTTTTTTTTTTTTT